ACCGCTGTATCATGACATTATAAATTTCAGTGAACATATCAGAACTGTTTGTGTCCACTTCATTTTCAGAACATCATTTTATTGACATTGACTGATTGTGTGAAGTCTATATATAGATCTACAATAAATAACTGGGTAGTAAACTGATGCAGTGCGTTGCAAATACCGAGTACATAGTGTTGAAACAATAGCATCACTTATTTTGAATATTTTTGATGAAATGGAAACCAAGATAATTTTATTTACTCACAATCTTGCCATGATTTTTTTTGTTACAGCGTCCAAAAACAAAACCAGCAGTTTCAGTGCTTGTTTTCCATGGAGTACTGTCATATTTGCATACAGGCAAAACATTTGCATACATCATCAGAGATGTCAACAACTCCTATATTGGTTCAGTTGGTATGGTACGGCGACTAACGTCTTATCATACAGCGGGAATCGATCGAGCAAAGTGATTTTGATTAATAAGTTTATTTTTTTGGATGCTATTATAACCACGACTGAGAAAAAATCCATTTTGTCCATTTAAAATTTTAAGTCTATCAGACCTTCAGATGGAATTTTTTCAATAAATCTTTTAATAAGAAATGGCAAGTAGACTGAATGTACACTTTTTTTCACTGCTGAGTATGCAGTCGACTATGAGAGACAAAAAATTGCAATCTCCTCAAAGGGCAGTAAATAAAGCACATTCCAAACTACCAAATAAATGTCATAACAAGCCCCTTACCTGCTTCCAATTCATCTTCATCTAATTCAGGCATGCCATAACTCCTTCCTAACGTCTCTTGTACTTCATTGGCTTGTTCTAGCATGTCCTCCATTTCGTCCTGGAGATCCTAATAAGAGAAAAACGAAAACACAATGACAACAAGAAATAACCTATCAGCTATTTATTTTATTTATATTCTGGGTAACTCCTTAACTTTCTCACCACCAGACTAAAGTTTTATGCACTTTTTTTCTTGTATTCTTCAATATTTCTGGAGATGAGTCCTAATTTTGGAGCCAATAGACAAAATTTTAGTTAATTTTTAGTTTTCACTCAAAACATTTGGCTATTTTTGCCACAATCTTTGAAAGGAAGGTGCAGACTATCAACAAGACTATTTTGTGAATTTGTGATGAAAAGAAGGAACTGGTGGTGAAAGGTTAAGGCATTTTAGATCAACTACATGCAAAATTGAATGCAAGAAGAAGATGACACACTCTCCCCTATAAAATCTTCGTCTGACACTAATTCACTAACAGAATGAATTTCGCTTTCAATTGCATTATTCTGCTGTAAACTTTGTAGTTTACCACTCTTGCAAAATATGCAGCAATCATCTGATCTGACGTAGTTTCCATCGAAATATAGCGCATGTGCAAAAAGTTGACAAGTGTAAAGTATGTTTTACGTTACAGAAAGTTTTGTGGCCAGCCAGATATTTCTATAGTGATCTATATAATTTATTAATTATAAATGGTTACAATCGAGAGGGGTGATTAGATTTAAGTGGTCCGAATTAGGTTAGATTTGTAAACAACTGACACTCACTGTGTTAGGTTGCTTCGTTTGACCTTGAAGGTCGGTTACATTGAACCTCCAGCACTTTCATAATGAAAAGTGTGGGAAAAGTGAACAGGACAGAATACTGACGTGTACTTTTTTTACATATATACATATTTTTTTAGGAAGGAAGTATACCAGGACCAAAAAAAGCAACAAATAAATGCTTGAAGATTAGCATTAGTGAGATGCTCATACTTTTTCCCAAGATTTCCCTAATCTATGTTACTTATGATGAAGCAAGATAAAATAATAAACAAGCAGCTGGTCGGCTGAGATAGTTCCGCTGTTAGCTATGCACATTTCAATTAAAGAACAGAAAACATCATTAGAAAATGAACAATATGTAGACTTGCTGTTTTCAACAAAAATTCAAAAAAAAAAACTTTTCACCAAAAATGACAAAAATAAGCATCAAAATTAGATAATTGAAGATATCACCACGAAATTAACAAATCTGAGAGAGGTCCACATGTAGTACCTATATATGTAATTTAAAGCAATTGGACTTGTGGTTTTTAACAAAAAGTTGAAAATATCACTTTTTACCAAAAATGACAAAAATATTCACCCAAATTAGAGAACTAAAGATATCATTACAAAATGAACAAATCTTAGAGAGGTCTACCCAAGGTACATATACACCAAGTATCAAAGCATTCAGGCTTGTAGTTTTCAAGAATAAGTCAATAAAGTAAAACATTGACATGGACGATGACGGACAATCACTCATATGATAAGCTTCGCTCGACAAAGTCGACAGCGGAGCTTAAAAGCGAATATAGTACTGGTTATGGACATATAGGCAATGTAACTATGTTGAAATTGTGGTACCACGGATTCTAATAGGAGAAAACAGACAGAATTTGTTGCAGCACTGAATAATTAACATGACCACTCGAGTCAGCTGCCACTCTGAATTAATTACAATTTCAGACTTGCTTTGCTTAGGTAATTATCATTGTTGAACTCCAATTGCTGATTTTAGACTTACAGAAGCCCCCTCCTACAACAACGCTAAACAATAGTGGTTCATAGCACCAACATTATGAAGTTACATATAGGATAATAGTGGTCTGCAGAGCCAAAGTTGTGCCTTTGAGCCTAGTGTCCCACAGCACCAATGTTGAGCCTTTAAGTAAATAGTGGTTCATGGCAACAATGTTGTGCCTTTAAGTAAATAGAGGTCCATGGCAACAATGTTGAGCCTTTAAGTAAATACTGGTTCATGGCAACAATGTTGTGCCTTTAAGTAAATAGTGGTCCATGGCAACAATGTTGCGCCTTTAAGTAAATAGAGGTCCATGGCAACAATGTTGTGCCTTTAATTTATACATTTAACTTACTTCTATCTGGTCTAGATTCACTTTCTTGTATTCTTTTTTCATTTCTTTGACGCCCATTTTCATAGCGTCTACAGTCATTTTTGTGTCCTTTAGCGTCTGTGTCGCATAGTTGGCTTGTTCCATATTAAATGATTGTTGCATAAGACTGTCCCTTTGTTGTTCATACCTAAAGTATGTGGTACAGAAATAAAAAGAACAAGTCATTGTCAATGACACGTCCCCGTTCCGTTCCGTTCATATTTGAGTGACATATACATTCAAATGCACCTGCATATGTACAACACATTGTACTAAATCTGAATAAAATCCATATGACTGAGATCCGGTTCCGGAATTGTGAAAATATGTAATTTTGATGCATTTTCGGCCTTAAAATGGCCATCATTCAGCTATTGTTAAGCAGATCATGAAACAAATGCACGTGCATATGTCCCATATAATGTGTGATGTATGAGTGAAGTTTGAACTTAATCGGTCCATGCATGTTCGAGATACAGGTGATCACGGACGCACAGATGCACGGATGCACGGACGCACACAGGGCAAACCATAAGTTCCTGTTTTCAGACTACGTCCGAACAGGGACTAAAAGACAAGGCATTATTAATGAATGAAGGAAAATAATTCAGCTCATATCAACCACAGTCAGCTGGTGTACATTTTGAAAAGGCATTTGCCGCAAGTCTCAGAAGTGCTGTAAAATGTAAAAGTGGTATTAATGGCCACATCCCTAATAGAAGCATTTTTTAACAATTGAGAACCAAAAATTCACCATTTCTCATATGAAATGTTTTAAAGAAGGTGCTTCCCCTCTGTTCTGGGAGTGATGTATACATATGCAAGGAACATGTAGGAATGCAGTGTTTTCACTAGGAATTAAATAAGTTTAGTTTAGATAGTATAAGACAAGTACCGAAAAATAAAATATTTTGTTCCGCCTATAGTGGAGATCGTGTACTCAAATGAACGCTCAAAATTGTTTGTTGTAAAATGACATAATGTAGTTTGTTTAAGGGATGACGTCAATAGATCGATGTCGAATAAAAAACTTATTTGCTTTAGTTTGGGGGTGGGGGTTTGAACTCAAGTTTCCATCCTACAAAAACGATTTTATTTTTTAATGAAGTCAAAAAAACCTTGGAGTATTTGTAGTTCGTTTTTTTCTATCCAATCATAGACAAAAATAACAGAAAATGAAAAAAAAACATCCAAAACGAGAAAATGGTTTGGTCCGAGTGTAAATACATGTATGTGCGTCAAATGAGGTCAATTTCAGGGCATGGACCTGTTGCATGCACAGAACCCTGAAAAGTAATTTATTCCGCTTCATTATTACAACCAACTGCTATGCCATACTACTGTCCGATTATCAATTTGTATTTAATGGTTAATGTAGTCTAACGCCATGATCAATATTTATCAATTAAGTTTCAGTGGGGGGTGGGGGGTTTTTGGAAAAAACTAAAAGAATTAAGTTTTTTATCCGTCATCGATCTTTTGACGTCGTTTCTAATATGAAAAGAGAGTAGTTCCATTGATTTTTCATTTTAAATTATTATAAATTGTCTCTTATTTACATTTTTGTGAGGCAGTTTTTCTCAAGGAAGAAAACAACCTGGGACAAAAATACAAAACATTAGGCAGATTTCTTATACATGTATCTTGGTTAGAACACTGGAGATGTAACTGTACCTGGTAATCAAGGTAAATGTAATAGAAAAAAAATTATTTGGGCCAAGAAAAAAAATCCTGTTTCTCGTTTTGTGGAAATTTTAAAATGAAGCAGTGAGGCGATTTTTTTATTTTTTTTGAATACTGAGCTAAAATGGGGGAAATTTGAGACTAGTGCGAGTACAAGCGCATATTGGAATGCTTTAGAAGGAAAAAAACACATTTGAGGTGCATAGTTCAAAATGATGCGTGTGGAAAAGAGAAACAGAGATATTTTTTTTCTCTTAGCGATATGGTAACCTTAAAATCATTAATCAGAAAAAAACCTGGCGAATCCAAGATGCTGCAAGACAAGACAAGCACAAAAGAATCTTTAGAAATACTTAGTAATGTAAAAAAAACAACTTTTACTGTAAAATAATTTATTTTCGCTGGAATTAATTTTCACTGAAAAGACTTTTTGGGCGTTTTGTATGGAATTCATTTTCACTGATTTTTGACGAGTTGAATGTAAAGTACAAGAAAAAAAGATGGATTTTACTTTCGTTGAACCATCCCTTCAGCGATAAATTCCAAGAAATAAATAAAATATTTTACACTATATCTGGCGATCATTAGACATTATGTATATCTAGCTCTGAAAAAAAACAACAGAATATGCCGTTCAAAGTTCAAATTTTTATTTATATGGGGCGAGGGGATTTTTGTCATTTGGGGCAATAATCTCTCATTAAGGTAGAAGCCTACTCATGAATGCAAATAACCAGAATTTATTAATTTTTAAATAAATTGAGCAATACAAGAATATTAAACTTAAGTTGGGGGGGGGGTGACCAGTTTAATTTTCTAGAAAATGATGGTTATATTTTAGTGGAACGGGAAAGTACTGGTATTATACACTTTGACTATAGGTTCATATGGCAAAGATATTATGCCACACTTTTACCATAGGTTTCTATGGCAAAGATATTATGCCACACTTTTACCATAGGTTCCTATGGCAAAGATATTATGGCACACTTTTACCATGGGTTCTTATGGCAAAGATATTATGCCACACTTTTACCATAGGTTCCTATGGCAAAGATATTATGGCACACTTTTACCATGGGTTCTTATGGCAAAGATATTATGCCACACTTTTACTATACGTTCCTATGGCAAAGATATTATGTCACACTTTTACCATAGGTTCCTATGGCAAAGATATTATGTCACACTTTTACCATAGGTTTCTATGGCAAAGATATTATGTCACACTTTTACCATAGGTTCCTATGGCAAAGATATTATGCCACACTTTTACCATAGGTTCCTATGGCAAAGATATTATGGCACACTTTTACCATAGGTTCTTATGGCAAAGATATTATGCCACACTTTTACCATAGGTTCCTATGGCAAAGATATTATGTCACACTTTTACCATAGGTTCCTACGGCAAAGATATGCCACACTTTCACTATAGGTTCCTATGGCGAAGATATTATGCCACACTTTACCATAGGTTCATATGGCAAAGATATTATGCCACACTTTTACTATAGGTTCCTATGGCAAAGATATGTCACACTTTTACCATAGGTTCCTATGGCGAAGATATTATGTCACACTTTCACTATAGGTTCCTATGGCAAAGATATTATGTCACACTTTTACCACAGGTTCCCTATGGCAAAGATATTATGCCACACTTTTACCACAGGTTCCTATGGCAAAGATATTATGCCACACTTTTACCACAGGTTCCCTATGGCAAAGATATTATGCCACACTTTTACTATTAGGTTCCTATGGCAAAGATATTATGCCACACTTTTACCAC